CGGCCAGATTCAGATAGTGGGCCGGTTTCCCATTGGCATTTTCGGCCTCTATATCCAGCATGCATTGTCGGCCTCACGTTTATGTGCCCAGGGCCTAACCGACTTAGAAGCCCTGGGATTTCCGCATTTGCAGAGATCCGAGACTCGGTGCACTCCAACCAACTGGCGTGCTGCAACTGTATGGACCCCACTTTGTGAAATGTTTGCACAGAGGGCTCTTGTTGATTTGCTGGCCTGCCTTCACTTAGGGCGGGCATGAGGCTTGCTGGGGCCTTAGCCCAGAACATGTACATCACGCCAAGGCCCCTTCTTGAGGGCTCAATCCTCACAGTAGTGGTATGAGTGTGCCTGCTGTGACAACGTGTCAGCAACCCGTGGTGTGGGCCCCGCATCGCTGGCGGGGCACTAAAACAACACAAAAGAAACAAAACAACAACGCAAAGAAGACAAGCTGAAACTAGACAATGTAGCAGGTAGATACGTTCCCCGTAGTCCTGATGTGGGCATTGCCTCATTCTTGGCTTTCCCCAACACAAGTCCTCTGTCGACAGTGTCGCCCTTTTTTCTTCTTTTTTTTTTTAACAAGTGGGCCCATAGGGCCCAAACATTTTGATTTCGCCAAGCCTCGTCAGAACCTCCTAAAAATGGGGTGTGACGTGGATTCCCGTTTTTCCCAACACTGAAAAAGGTAGTGGTGGTTTGGAAAAAAAAAAGAAAAACACAACTGAGAGGGCTCTGACCTTTTCTGCAAAGTCGCAAACTCCATAAAAACCCACAAAAACTGCCAATCCCTTGTGAGAAGAGTGAGGCATCAAACAATTTATGAACATTATCATACATCTGAATAGGCTCTGATAGTGAAACGTCATCATCCAATTTATCAGTGTGCCTCCCACCACCAGCATTCAGTGGACAGTCTAAACAACTGAAGCACTTCGAGCGACATCCCTGTACATTTCCACAAAGAGCTGCCCGGTGAACTGTTCCCGGCATCATATATATATGGACACTATCATCATACATCTGAACAGGTTCGGATGGTGAAACATTTTATTGGGCTATGAATGCCCATCATCCAATTTACCAGCATGCCTTCCAACACCAGCATTCAGTGCACTGAAGCACTTTGACCTCCATGGACAACTGAAGCACTTTAACCAACATCTCTATGTATTTCCACAAAAAACTGCCCAGTGAACTGTTGCCAGAGAGGGAGAAGAGCGTCAAGACTGGAGGGAAAGGGGGAGGCGGGTTAAGTGTAACACTGTTTCACTGGACTTCACTATTTCCACCGAATTTTTCACCAAAACTGCCATGTTTCCCTAAATTTTTGATTTTTTTCTTGTTTGTTTTTTTGTTTTTTTTATATTTGTATTATGATCCTGCATTGTTTGTTCGCGAAATTTTTGAGGACATTGGTTGTGGTGATGCGGCGAAAAACCCCGAATTTTGGGCCTTCCATTAAACCATCTCTCCTGGACTTTGACCTTGTCACAGGCTGTACGCATCTATACAACGTTTGCAGGATTACAACCTGCCTACCATGTACAAAAACAAAGGACCACAACTCCCAACATCAAGAACTGCCCAACGAACTGTTCCTGGAAAGTGAGAAGAGGGCCAAACCTGGGGGGAAAAGGGGGAGGTTAAATGTAAGACTGTTTCATTGGACGTTCACCTTGTCACAGGGCTGAACACATCCACACAAAGTTCGCAGGGTTACAACCTGCCTGCCATATAAAAAAACAAAGGAACACAACTCCCTGCTTTTGAAGTCTCATCACCATATATGACACTATCCATGACTAAACCGCCATTCCACATAATAACGAAACATTTACCAGATCTGAGACTTCCCTCACCTCTGGTTCTGGATCTTCCAAGAGCGGCACCATGAGTGACAAGATGTCATTCTCAAATGCCGAGCCTTGGACTTCATACTGACCATCCCACAGCTTCGCTAAGCAAAGACAGACCCAGCGAATGAAGGATCGGTCTAAGCCTCTCTCTGTCGCCTCCCTGAGATACCTTTGCAAGTCATCAAGAAGACCTGCAACCAAACATGACTCCTGCCCCTTTGGATGCTTGTCCACTATGACACTCAGAACAAAGAGCGCCATTGTCTTGTACTCCATATTGTGTCCGGCATTCACATCCTCGCTCCTCAAGTACTTGATGAAGTACATATGGCCATTATCTTTCACCAAGTCCACCTGGCATGACTGTACGAGTCATGTGTGACCAACAAGGACGTCAGAAGGAATAATGTCGGATGCCAACACCAGATCTGGTCATCGCCGAGATCTGCGATGAGGCAGATCCACAACAGGCAAGCATTTCTTCCTGAAAGAAGGTCAGCCCTTAGCATTCCTTGTATCTAACAGGATCCGCATAGTACAATCCAACCAAATTTGTTTTCAAAAGGGAGTCAGCCCTTAACATTATTCCTATCCAAAAGGATGAGAGGGTTAACCGGGGCTAAATTTTCAGACAATTTGTCACACCAATTATAATAGAACCCATAGGCCATTTTAACCAAACTTGCCACCAATTCCACATGTACCATTCAGCCACTACCAGTTATGATTCAACTGTTTTTTGAACCCCTGCTCTCACTACCTTCTGCCACCCGACCCATTGGAACACAGCCCAAAGCCTCCAATGCTTGATCTATAATGATGTGCACCTAAAGTCAAACTGTGGCCCTCCATTGTGGCCCAGTTTGATTACCTTCCAGGATAGCAAAAACATGCACTGCCATAGTCTGGACAAGGGCATCAGCCAGCAAACAGCTACGGAAGCTGCTAACTTGTGAGACGGGCTTGGGGACAAATAGATGCAGGAAAGAATGGAGAAGGTCAACAAGAACCCATAATAGGTGTAAATTTGTAAAAGAAATAGTTGAAAGACCTACTTTGGTACTGTGCGGTCATGCCAAGTACAATTTTGAAGATGTACAATAGTGTAGAGATGGGGAGCAAGCCATCGAGGAAGATCACCAGATGTGGCTGTGCAGACATTGAGGGGTTCAACAAAAACTTCGGGTGGAATTCGCCGCCAGAACTCATGTCCCCTGAACCACGAATTTGAACAACCCTGGCCTTCCAGCATGTTGGGCCTATCAGGTCAGAGAGGGGAGGGGCAACTATGTCCCTTTGGTCTGTGGCAGCATTCTTTTCACAGGAATTGCCCTATTTTTTTTTTCTGATATTTTCCCTGCCACACATCCATGATTTTTTCCCATATTTTGGGTCAAAGGAGAGGACAATTGTAAATTGCTGAAGCTGGGGCAATCAAACTTCTCAGCACTTTGCCAGTAAACCGCCTCGAACCCGGTAGGCCAAACCTGACCATGGCCTCCATGTGCAGTAGAGGTAGCGTTGCTAGGCCCATGGTGAACTGCTTGTTTAACCACTGTGCGAGAAATCTCCAATTCAGCACCGTAGTGCCAAGCGTCCGGTACTGGGTCAGATCGGCCTTAGAAGACAGCCCTGGTACGTAAGGGTCCAGTAGGCAAAATAAGCCAAGCTTAGGCTGGCCCGGTGGTTAGGCACCCAGTAGGTTTGGAGGATCCGGCCCAGTCTAGTATGGTGTAGTCCACTCCAGTCCAGTCCAGTACAGTCCAGTCTACTCCAGTGCAGCCCCGTCCAGTTCAGTCTTGTCTCAGGTAAGTCAGTGGCCCAGGCTCCCAGGAGTCGTGAACGTTCTGGAAATGTGGAAGGCTGACAGACCCAAGCCAACAGGCTATCAGGTACCGGTTCAACAAGTCCAAGGGCTGGGAAGCTGAATAGTCACATACAAAAGCGGAGCACCGGTTGCCATCAACACACAATTCCATTCATGCTTGCTGACAGTGAGGTTGAGCCTTCGGGCGCTGAGGTTGAGCAGCGGTCATCCTTCGAGTCTACTCTGCACTTGCATGCGTGTATGGGAACGTGTGAAGTCGTTGAAGTTCAATCGGGTAAATAACAAATTTATTGGATCTGTGTTAAAAAAAAAATTAAAAAAATGGAACCGGACTCGGGCTCCCCAGACCACACAAGGAGCCAGAACCATACGGTTCTGTGTCATACCAAAAAAAAAAAAAAAAATGAAGTTTCCTCAAAGGCTTTAACGAAGAGATTAGAATGCTTACTTGCAGAAAGAAAACCACCACAGTCTGAACCTTTTTTATCTTGTATCTTTTTCTTTCATATGTGTGGCGCAGTGTGAACCTTACCTTGTCCCATGCCAGGATTTTTGTCCAGATGAAGACAAGAAGCTCTCTTAAGTCAGGTGCACTTGTCTGAAGCAGCTTGAGTACATATGGAAATATACCGACAGATAAGGCCTGCGTTAACAGTAGTTATCGTAGTTTAATATAGTGACAGTAGATAACAAGGCAGACAAATGGCAGACCTAAGATATCCTGGAATGAACCCACTCTTGAGGAGCTCACAATTTCCACAACATGCACGTGATCAAGTAGACGAGAGGTTAGCCAAAGGTAGAGAAACCCAAGAGAGGAGGAGGAAAGCTTTCTGGAATAACAAATTGGTCAGTGACTCACCACAGAAAAGCTGATCGATTTCTTCAAACAATCACAGACACACAATTTTTTTTCTTGCCCTCCCTGCCTACCCGGCCATAAGAGTCAAAACGTTATGACCATTGCAGCAAACGGAACCGAATCGCTCTGCGCATCTACAAAAGCGAAATAACCTCCGAGGCTTCGAAAGTAATTTCTAACTTTTTCTGTTTCCTTTTTAAACGATTGGCAGTGAAATATATCTCACTTCTGTTAAATTTAATCTGAATATCTGAACACATGAAAAAACAAGATGGTAGTAGCACTGCACACTCCATCGATGGCGTGATAGTAGTAGCACTGCACACTTCCATTGATGGTTGGCAAAGTATGGCGCTGAAAACTACCTCCTAATCCCAGTCATTAAGTCTGAGGTGGAAGACCTACCAGCGATCGAAGACTTCTGCATTCGAAGATGGTCTCCATTGCTTAACGTGTTTGGTGCGCGGTCGACTGGCTCGAAATCTAGAAGAGCAAGGAAACGTAAGCGTGAACGAGCTAAGCGCCGGAAGGTGAAGGTCGCCTCGGAGCAGAAACAGGTAGCATTAATACACTTTCGGGCAGGAAAGGAGGGGAGAGAGACAGTCAGCTTGGTGAATCTGCTGGAAGCACAGATGAAAACTGGGGATGTTTGTTTTTCGTTATTCTGTGAGCAAGGAAGCACAGATGAAAGCAAGAAGTGTGGAGACTGTTTGGGGACTCGGAGCTGACGGTGAATGGGAAGACGGTGAAACTGCGTACTAGTAAGGCGTTGTTGGAAAATGGAGGAGAGGTAAGGGTGTGGAAATTGCAGAGATGGAAGAAAGGCTGCGGGGGACAGAAGGCAGCGCTGCTTGTGTTCTTGAAGTTCCAGGAAAGCAAGGATCTTGTACGCCTGCCGCTTCGTCTTCTTGTTGACTTACTGGGAGCAGCCAAGGAGTTTTCCAGGCAGTCTACAAGGAGTCTGCTTCGAAAGATGCTGTATGGTGCGATAAGGGAGAAGTCCAGTGAATTTGTATACTTGGTGGTGAAAGTACGGTATGATGACAGAGTAAGCTGCCGAATGTGAAAAGGGTGTGTGACAAAAAAATCGACCAGTTGGGTCTACCGGCGTGCACCAGTAAAATTCTAAAGCAGAAATCATGCATCGTTTGGGGGAAGAACCAGGCAGCAGGTGAGATTCTGCACAACCATCGGGAATTCGTGTCCCGGCAGGTTGCAGCCTGCATATGCAGGAGCTTGGACCTGCCCAGAGTTGACAGGCATGTCAGATTTCGTTTGGGTGGTCTCCCGGGTATTCCCCCAATGCTGGCCAAGGCAAAAAATGTTCCGTGTGGCAAAGAAAGGACGGGCGGATGAATTGAGAAAGGAGATTGTGGATGGTTTCGCAAATTGGAGGCAAGGTTTCGAGAAGAAAATCGAGGTGAGAATGGAAGAAGGTGTAAGCTGCACAATGGGTGCGGAGAGCAGAGACGGGGAGCTGACATGCGAGGATGCGCTCAGGGTGAAGAAGAGGTTTGAAGGGTTGGTATTCTCACTGGTCGATCATAACCCGGGTGAGACCGTGATTATGTGCCCTTTCCTTTACTACGAAGGAATGCACCAGCTGTTCTTGTTGAACGATGGTTTTGAAGTTATGGGAACGAGCGAGGAGGAATATTGGAGGAAGAGTAAGAAGGAATTCTTTGACACCGGACTGGGCATGGTGGGAAAGTGGAAGGAGGGGGGGGTTGCGGGGCGTAGATACGTGATCCCGAAGCAGAGACACCAATCTGCCCCGCCTTCAGCGAACCTTCTAAATCCACAAGCAGGAAGATCGCCAGGGCTTTGAACCTGTTATTGTCGAAGGTGCCCGAAACTGATCACTTCAATTTGCAAGCAGTATCCGGATTGGCGGGGAGGTTGACCAAGGCAAAGAAGACTTTTAGAAGGATGGGGGCAAGAACGCGAGTTTTGCCGGCCTCATATGATGTGAAGGACATGTTCAGCCGCCTCCAGCATGAGGATATTGAAGCGGCCCTCGGCTGGCTGTTGGATCTGCACGCAAAGAAAGGAAGACAAGGGGTGAGGGTTAACCCGCGGGGAAAGGGAGTTATGTTTGACGGTAGAGGAATCAATGACAAATGGTGGAGTGTGAGCTTGGGGGAGATTAGGGAGTTTGTCAGATTTGATTTGAGGCACCTGGTTCATCATGGCCATGGGACTGGAGGGCCACGCTACTGGGACACTGCCCCCAGTTTCGAGGAAACACCTTCGGGGAGAACATGTATTGCCTGGGTAGGCGCTCCATCCTGTGGGTAATATGGTGGAGAAGATGCATTCTGGAATTGGCGGGGGCCAGGGTGGAAGATGGGGAAGTCACAGAGCAACTACGACTACTGGTACAGCACGAGATCACATCCGAATGGTGGGCGGTCAAGGAAAAACTGAACCAGGCATGCACCAGGGTGGACATAGACAGAATCATCTCCCGGTTTTGCGAAGAATGGCTGGGAGGGAAACAGGGGGGGCTGGGTGGCAAAAGTGAGGTGGACAGGAGACAGGCGTGATCAGCAACAGGCCCTGCGACAGGAACATCAACCGGAGCATCAACAGGAAGAGGGGACGGGGCCGAGAGGGGGGCATAGGGTAGAATTGGAAAGGAATTATTCACTGCATTTCCATGAATGGACAAAGGTGGACCCCAGGGAACCGTTACAGGGAAGTATGTGGTACGGTATCTGATCATATAAGTACTACCGGATTCATCTGCTCATCTGCCCCTGAGCATTTTCCTAGCACGGGCTTAAGATAGCCAATCGTTGAGAGTCGGCCACAGTCAACTGGTGACGATCGGAAGGCAGGGAGATAGCCACGAGTCCCGGTGCCCCCCGGGCCCAAGATGGCAATCTGTTTTTTCCTCCAAGGCTACCGACTAAACAGTTTCACCTAGAGAAATAAGCCCTGCACAGGTCTCAGGGCAATCAATGCTGGCAGGGCCCCAAGAGCTCCAAATGATGACATACAAGAATTGGATGTACTCAAGGATGTATTCATGTGACGCTGGATCCGGTTTCCAGCAGGTGATTCTCCCCACCAATAGATGGAGCGGCCCACTATGCAAAGCCTCAATTCCGGTGGTTCTCTTACCACCACTGGGATAGAGGCCTTGCACAAGGGCCTTTCCAAACAAAAAAAAAAGAAAAAAAAGAAAAAAAGAAAGAAGAAAAGAAAAGAAGATTTGAGGCACACAGTTACAAAGGCATCAGGTTTACTGCTAAGGCAAAGGGTGGGGGTCCCTATGGGGAAGAGCACGAGCCCGCCACTCGCAAGCATCATGTGTGCTCATGCCGAGTGGTGGTTCTTGGACTCCATGGGTGTGGACAGAAAACTGGTGGTCGGGGTTCAGCTGGTGGACGATGTCTCCCTTTTCGTAGCCTACGGAAAGGGGGATAGTCGCTCACGTACCAGGGCAAACAGAATCAGGGGTGTTTTTGACAGTTGCTACCCTTGGAATCTTACTCTGAAGAGGACGGATGACCGAACCGGCACTTGGGACTTTTTGGGTTACCGGTTGAGAGTCGTGAAGTCCTATCCTTTTTGGAGGTCTGTTCAGAATGTGAAAAACGAGGGGTCAATTCGTTCGAAACAGCCCTTGGCCATTCGAATGGGCCAGGATTTTAGATCCTGGACGGATCGCAAGCAAAAGGTAGCCGTGGTCGCGGGGAGTTTGCACAGGTTGGATCGGAATACGACGAACCGAACATAGATTCGGGTCCAGGTGATTTTGCTTCAGCAGGAATACCACGTTAAAGAACCACTACCTTTCTCATATGTGGGGCCGCGGGCCTCAAACTCAAATTCGGCCGCCACGCGCCGTCGATGAAAAATATCGACGGCGGTGTGGCGGCTATTTTTCAGGAGTAGGCTACTAGATGCCCGCGACCGACATATGGGAAAGGTAGCGGTGGTTTAAGGGTTTGCCCGACCGTTTCTTCTCAAAGGTTGTCGATGCCTTCGCGAAGAAACGGGATGGGATATGGCTTGAAGTTATCGTGATTTCCATGTTTTTGGCGCGTCATTGTTTTACTCTTGTTTGATCTACTCGGCGTGTACGTAGACAGAGGTAGTATATTAAGTAGAGTTATTCTACAGACTAATACTCTTTCACAACAGGTTATGAGGGCAGCATGGGTGGTTATGGGCGTAGACCGAGGTAGTATATTAAGTAGAGTTAGTCTACAGACTAATACTTTTTCACAACAGGTTGTGAGGGCAGCATGGGTGGTTATGGGCAATTGGTGTTGCTACTCAAGTAGAAGGGAGGCGGATAGTCTGTCGAGTATTCCGGAGAAGTGAGGGGGAACGATGCTTAGCAAAGAGTTGTAATGTTAATTCGCTCCACTGCAAACTGTTGTGCCGAAGCATTTGAAATTTGAATAAATACTGTTGTTTTTGTCGTTTATCGGCTGCGATAACTACATGCTCTGGCATGTGTGAAATCATGTGATTTGTCATCTTGCAATCTCAAGATGGACCAGCGTGGCTTTGCCTGCGTCAGCATAAGGGAGTGTGGAAAGGCACGATACTTGATGGAGAGAGATACATTAGGACCGTGATGATGTAGATGTTATGGAGAATGATAAGTTTTAAAAGCATATGCATGGGTCCTAGGGACCATCTCACGCAAATGTGTACATGTCATGCATCATCTTCACACGCAGTGATCAATAGTATCAACCATAGACAAAGGTAGAGAAGAAGAGGACCGAGTTTCACAACTTATATTATCAGAAATATAAATA